ATCATTCTGTTAAACTATGATATTGGGGTAATGATCTTTTCTACTTATAAGGCCTCCCTATATAATAATGATACTAACTTTTATACAATTGCATATTTTGGTCCAAGTTTACATGTCTTTCAATTGGGTATTATATTTTTAATCATATACAAGTTCTTAATTAAAATTTAATAAAATCGATCAACCTGTTCCTGTTTCTACTTCAGAGTTATGCTTTAAAAGCCCTTTACCAGCTTAGGATATTTATTTTCTTTCTAATATTTTATGGAGTTTTGTTTTCACATTAAAATCTCCTCCAAATGGAATTTATTTTGATGTAAGCAATGAGAAAATACTTTGTCACTTTTTTTTCCTAAGGAATTAGAAAATGATAGAAAAAATTATTTTTTGAAAAATCCATCCAGTCACTTCCTGATTGATTCTGATTCCCTTTACCCACCTGGAAGTAAATCTGATTCTTGACCTTCTAGTTTGATGTGTTATCTGCTGCCTAATTCCTGGCCAAGCACTGTTTTATTATTTGTAACCTTATAATATGTTTTCAAATTACTGGGCTAAATCCCCACTTTTTATCCTACTTCTTGTAATTTTGTTGGTTACCCTAGTACCCTTTTTCTTTAAGATGAAGGGAAAGCCACAGAGAGAGAAAGAGACAGAGACAGAGAGACAGCAGAGACAGAGAAGGCAGAGAGCGGACACTGAAGACAACTGACCCTGGGGCTATGTTAGTCCCTTCTCAGACTGATTCCTCCATCTGAAGAACGTCAGCTTCCATCAACATTTAATGAACACATTGTGGCCTAAGTGCATTCATACAATTATGTCTGTTCCTTCCCCTTTAGTGTTAATATCTAACTTTTAATCTATTTCCATTTTTATTACACATTAAAATCCAAAGACTATAGACTAGGCATTTATGTTTGCAGGAACATGGAATAACTTTATTAGAGCAATGAACATCCTAAGGACAGATATTCCTAGATGGCTTGATTCCTTGAGGAGAAGGATTTTGACAAACGTATCTCAATATCGGATTCACATCCAGTGACACACTTTGCTGGCAAGAACCATTAACATTATTTTATGGATATCAAAGTTCTGAGGTTTTATTATGTACTTAAAAAAATCTATTTCAAATTTCATTTTCCATCCCCAAAAGAACCCCAAAATGTTGATATGTTAAGGTTCCATAACCCAGGGCATTAGAAACAGCATTTATGTGGTCACTGGACCATGGGCTCAAGTAAAGATACGTTTTCGCAAAGGCACGGAGGACGTGAAATTTCTCTGCCACCTAGATCTAGACCCCATCTAGAGTATTCCAGACAAACCACCTTTCCCTTCCTGGGAGAATGGTTCCCTGCAGCAGCAGAAGGGCCGGCCGTGAGGCTGATAGATCCACCCCCCAAGCTCAGCTGTACCACCCCTTTGCTTCATGACTCGGGGTCAATCGCTTTACTTTCTGTGATTCAGTTTCCTTATCTGTGGAGTGGGTAAAATAATGCCCGGTTCTGGGTGGTTATCGGGATTAAAACATTTAATGCATGCAAAATGTTCAACACAGAGGCTAGCAGAGAGCAGGCTTCCTTTAAATAATGATGTACTTTTACTGAGGTTTTGAGTTTTAAAGAATTTATGTCTTTTTAAATCAATCACGTTAAAAACACTGACCCTATCATATTGTTGTCACTCAATAAATGTCAGGCAACAACTTAATAACACCTCTCTAAGATAATGAATTTTAAAATTCATGAAAATAAATATCAATTTAAAATATCAATTCTTAAAAATTCAAACATTAGATTTTTTCCATTCATCAGTGTAATACAAAGGGAAAGAAGCAAAAATGACAAGTTCTATTTAAAATGTTGTAAATATACAGCATGTGTTTTTTGTTGTTGGTTTGTTTGTTTGTTGTGGTACGCGGGCCTCTCACTGTTGTGGCCTCTCCCGTTGCGGAGCACAGGCTCCGGGACGCAGGGTCAGCGGCCATGGCTCACGGGCCCAGCCGCTCCGCGGCATGTGGGATCTTCCCGGACTGGGGCACGAACCCATGTCCCCTGCATCGGCAGGCGGACTCTCAACCACTGCGCCACCAGGGAAGCCCAACAGCACGTGTTTTTAAACTTCAGTTTTGCACTGCACAGGGAATACCTGTCTTAACTACACATGTGTTCTTAAAGATGGATGTGAAGAAGCCACTCGTTTTGAACAGACTTCTATTCCCACCCTACTAAAAAGTATTATAAATACCCTATATAATCCTCACTTTTAATTTTGCTCTCTTCCTTTGTAGTTAACACAAAGGAACAATTCAACTGCTTTAAATGTAGATGGTCCAGCTGAGGTTCAGATTGACCACCCCTGTCTTCATAGTAGGTTCCATCTTTGTCTTCTCAACAGAGTAAAATTTATGAGATACTCATTTCCTACTACTTTAATTTTTCTACTTGCCACCCATTTTTATAAATATCACCGGCAATATAAAATAATAATTTTTGGAAGTTTTTGAAACAATGAGAACCTTTCTTCAAAAAAAAAAAAAAATCTACCCAGAAGCCAAATATGTGAAATAGATCAAAGCGAGGTTGCCCTGGTTTAGAGAGAGGTGGGAGACCTGGAGCCCTTCTAGGAACAACCACTCCCAGCCCGACAGCAAAAGTCTCTGCCACCCCCAGGATCCCTTGAATAGAACCTAAGTGGGATCATGTCAGACCCTGCTCAAGACCCTCCAACGGCTGCCCATCACACAGAGGTTAAAACCTGAAGTCCATACCTCACCCGACTTATTCTGGCCTCTGACTACCTCTCAGACTTTTATGTCCTAACACATCTTCCCTCCCACCCACCACCGGCTTGGTGCCCCATTCCACTCCCACTACTGTGCTTACTATTCCTTGAACAAGTGAAACATACTCGTTCCTCAGCTCCTTTGCATTTGCTGTTCCCTCTGTGCAAAATGCTCTTCCCCCACAAAACCACGTGGTTTCTTCCCTTCTTTCTTTCAGGTCTCTGCTAAAATGCTATCGTCTCAGAGAGATCTTCTTGGCTGCCCTGTACCAAGTAGTACATCTCTGCCCCTGTCACTCTCTATCCCCTATCATTTTTTCTTCTTAGCACTTATATTATTGACATATTTCTCTATTTATGTATATATTTATTCAATGACTGCACCTCTCAATTAAATGTGAGCTCATTAGGATAAAAAATTTGTTTTGTTCACCACCAGCACATAAAACAGCACCTGACACATAGGAGGTGCTCAATAAACATATGCTGATTAAATGAATGAATGAGGCACCTATGCATGGTTCATGAGGTAGTTTTAAACTGGGATGTGTAAGTCAATACTATTCTATAGACAAATATGGGAACTTTGTCAAAACTGGCATAAAAAAGCGACACTGAAGGTATCACTTACATAACACCCAAGAGTACAAGTTGCTTAGACATCCATATTTTGTGTCTTAGGCTTAGATTCAGAAGAAACAGAGATGGGTTTGTGAATGGTGGAAGTGAATCTCATGAATGCAGATTATTTTTTTTTACTCACAAGCCTCAGGAACTATCAAAAAGCAAAGGCTGGGACTTCCCTGGTGACGCAGTGGTTAAGAATCTGCCTGCCAATGCAGGGGACAAGGGTTCGAGCCCTGGTCTGGGAAGATCCCACATGCCACGGACCAAGTAAGCCCATGTGCCACTACTACTGAGCCTGCGCTCTAGAGCCCATGTGCCACAACTACAGAAGCCTGCGTACCTAGAGCCCGTGCTCTGCAACAAGAGAAGCCACCGCAATGAGAAGCCCACGCACCGCAACGAAGAGTAGCCCCCGCTCACCGCAACTAGAGAAAGCTGCGCGCAGCAGCGAAGACCCAATGCAGCCAAAAATAAAAAATAAAATAAAATAAAGAAAAATAAATTTTAAAAAGCAAAGGCTACTGCTGAATGTTTCTTCCTGGCATCCACCAAGGTTGTGGTCCATGATTCATGAAAGGTCCAAAGGCTCCACACAAAGGGGGGATCCCTGGCTTCTTGCTTCTACCTCACCCTCTTCCAAAAAGGCCATGTCAGTTACCAGAAACAGTTTATACCTGTGTACAGAGCATTAAATGTGCTTATCATCAAGCCGCATCACCGTGGTCTGATATCCAAGGTGTCCATACTGAAATTCTTGCTGCACCTTCCTTATGCAACATCTTTTTTTTCTTCATTTGTGTGTCAGATCCAGAGATTCCCTTATATGTACATTTAGGGACTTTCCATGGGCTGGTCCAGCCAACCAAAGCACAAAGTTGATGACCACTTTAAGAAACATACCACAAAATTCCATGGCTTAAGCAAAGGACTAGATTCTGGAAATGATTTTCTCTGGGGGGTTGGGGAATGTGTGCAGCACAGCTTGTGGGATTTTAGTTCCCCGACCAGGGATTGAACTCGGGCCCTCGGCAGTGAGAGTCCTAACCACTGGACTGCCAGGGAATTCCCTGGAAATGATTTAAATAAACAAAACTAGACCAAAAAGTTGCTCAACCAAAGAGTCCTGGAATTCTCATTAATATTTACTTAACACAGGTTTTGTCAGAGAAGGAAGCAGGTGCAAAGAAAATGTGTCCCGAGTCACTGGGAATAATATGGGTTATTTTGGACATTACTACAACCCATGTTTAAATTGAAGCTAATATGCTGCAGTCAGCCACTTTGCTAGTGATGATTTAATGTTTTACATATTTTATAGATTCCTGAAAACTTGATCTTAAGAAATTTTTTGTTTGTTTGTTTGTTTTCTCAGCCTGGAAAATTGTTCTCCTCTTTACTCCTATGTAACTCTGACCCATGTTTCAGGTCTCAGATTCCCTCTCTGTCAGTCCTCGGGGGGCTGTCCCAGAACCCCTTTCCCACAACCCAGGAGGCTGTCCCACTAACCCCTCCCCATACAATCTCAATTAACCTGGGCTTTTCCTTTAATGGTCTTAACTCATCTGTAATCAATGTGCACTTACCTGTGTACTATCTATCTGCCTCCCTTACTGGACCACAGGTGAGCTCCAGTTGGGCAGGAGCCATGTTTGTATCACTCACTGTTGTCTCCCCAACATCTAGCATGGAGTAAGTGCTCAGTGGATCTGGTGAATAAAGGAATGAATGGAACACAATGTGAGCTATGTGCTGACACTACCATGGATATTTGCAACAGTCAGCTTCATTGGGGTAACATGTTTTGCTACACAAGAAAAAAGTAGCAATCCTTAGAGCAAGATGGGCATCATTTTCTCAAGGCTCTCATTCCCAAAACCTCCCCAATGGGATAGTTCAAATCCTTGCAAGCACCTACAGCATCAAGAAGCCCGTGGAATCTTGGGCTTGAGTTCTGATTAAAAGTTGACCTTAAGATTTTTGAAACATTTGTAGGAATGGTAGAAGTCAAGTCAACCATCGCTCCAAAGCTTCAAGCAGACAATAAACAAACAGCAACCAAAAAGAAAAACCCAAGCAGTGCTTTTCAATGCCCAGAGGACCAAATGCAGCGATATCTTTGGCACCAGGTCGTTCCTCCACTTCTCAGCGGTGAGAACTCTAGAGGCCTGGCAGCCTTGGGAGCATCAGGAAGCAGCAGCCCCCAGTGGACACCACCTGCACTGATGATAATGCTGAGAGTCCTCCAAGAGATGTCTTTGACATTGCATATCAACTCAGAAGAGCCAAAGCAAGAGAAAAAGAATATGGTGGACACCAAATGGTGTCTATAGCTGACATTCAAGTTGTGGGGCTCCCCTTTGAGGACTCCAAGAAATATCGGTTAGGTGAGGTGGTTTCTGCAGTGCAAGTGAAGGTAAGAACAGGGAATCTAAACTGGTGCTGCTGTTCATTTGTAACCGTGAGATGGAATGCTTGATAACCTTGGACAATACCGTTATACATTAGGCTTTAGGAGAAGGAAACGAAAGGAAAGCTCAGAACATTGTCTGATACGGAGTGAGGAGAGCCTAGCATTTAAAAAAAAAAAAAAAAAACCCTCCTTGGAGAGAGAGAGGCAGCATTAATTAGAATTGCCACTATGGGCTGCAAGTGGAAGGAACGGATTGGTGAATGCCAAAGCAGCAAGTAAACACAGCATGACAATGATGCCCAGAATGTCATAGGCTTGGAAGCTTTCCTAATCCTTGTTTAATCTCCAGGGAGATTTTTTTTCAGAGAAGTGCATCTTTAATTTCATAACGAAAATCAAGAGGCAAACAGATTTGATTTCATAGCCAACTTACAAAAAGATATCTATTCCATTAATGAGTGGACATCTGTATTTAGTTTTAAAAGTGGGGGAAGGGTTTCTAGGTGATGATCATTTAGGCTCTGAGGAAACTGCCTTCAATTCATTCATTCAAACCAATATTTATCGAGCCAGGCAGTGTTCTAGGTGCTGGAGATACCGCAATGAACAACACTCTCTGTCTCCATAGAGTTTCCTTTCTAGTGAGGGGAGGTACACCACAAACGAAGGTAGCAAGCAGAAAAAAGTAGGTATAAAGTCTGGAGAGGAAGCAGGCAGAAGGTCAGCGAGTGCGCGGGCAGGGTGGGGATGGTCTCAGTGAGAAGTGAGGTTTTGTTCTCACTCGGGGCCCGCTTACTCACATGGAGAATTTTTTTTTTTTTTTTTTTTTTTTGCGGTACGCGGGCCTCTCACTGTTGTGGCCTCTCCCGTTGCGGAGCACAGGCTCCGGATGCGCAGGCTCAGTGGCCATGGCTCACGGGCGCAGCCGCTCCACGGCATCACATGGAGAATTTGATCAAAGACTTTAAAAGGCTGAAGAAGCAAGCTGTGTGGATGTGCGGGGAAGAGAATGCTGGCAGAGGGAACAGCCAACGCTGAACTGGGGCAGCTCCTCAAGTGCCCCAGAAACAGCAAGGCTGGTGTGGATGGAGTGTGGTGAGCACAGGAGGGTGGGGACAGAGAGGGGGAACAAGAGGCACAAGAGGGGTAGATAATAAGGGCCTTGGCAGGCATGGTGTGGGCTTTGGCCTGAGTGAGAGGGGAAACCGCTCTGGATCTGAGCAGAGCGGTGACGTGACCCGACTTCCCTTTAGAAAACATCCCTCTGGCGGCAGCAGTACAGGCACTGGGTATATTTGACCTAAAGTTCCCAAAAAAGATGAAGATAAACTTCCAGAGGTCCGACCTGTCCACCAATTCAACTTCAACATTTCCACTGAGATGTTCGAAACTGGGTTGAGAGGCCATTTTGCAAAGATGCAGAAAACAGCCATTCTGTCTTTTTAAACATACTACAGAGAAGCACAGGGTAGTAGGGGAAGGAGTATAGAGTTGCCTCTCCACAGGAAGTCAGGTTCTACATGTGTCTGAGTCTACAGCCTCTGGCCTATACTCAGAACTCAGTTTTGGTCCAGGCAAGTGTTTGGGGGTACAGTGACCAAGGGGAACCTGAGGGGAGAAGAAAGGAAAAAAAACAAAAAGACTGCACCTGACCCAAATCCTAAAATTCAGTCTTGATGAAAGAACCAGGGATTACGGCCCCAGACTGAAGTATGCCCTATCTACCAGGACCTAAGCACTTACTCTGATGTTCGAGCGTTACCTTTGGTCCTAGAAATTCCAGGACAGTCATGGTTCCACATATTGTATCCCACTGGCTCCACAAATCATTCAAATGTTCCTGAAGAGCTTCCCACAAAGCTGCAAACAGAAAGCATCAAGGGTCTCTGTCACAGAGAGAAGAAAGAGAAGGGACGGCTGGAGGAAAAGAGATTCTTCCAAGGGAACTAACCCTCAGGAGTGATGAGGAAAAGGGGACAGAAGGAGGTCCAGGCAGGGCACAGCGGTTGAGTCCTGGGCTGGGACCACTATACATTCCTATGTTGCTGGGTTCACAGTCCTGATTAAATGAGATAATGTGCCTATACACAGGCACTTAAAAAAACCAATTCTCTTCCCTCTCTCCTGAGTCATCCTATCACCTTTTAGCAAAGCAGGAGGAGGAAAGCAGGCTTTTAGCCAAGTTGTCTGACATGCTTCCATTTTTGCTAAGCATACACACAAGCACGATGCACGTACTAACAAAGACCATCTGGGAGAATGTAAGTCAAGTGTTTACAGTCGCTCTCCGGATAGTGGTATTACAGGTGATACTTCTGTTGTTCATCTGTATTTTTTCCTTTTTCACAATGAATACAGATTGCTCGTATTTTTTTTTAAGAGGCAGAGAAGTATGTTTTATATTGTAGAAAGGTTCCAATACAAATGGCTCACGTGAAAAAGGAAGTACCTGAAAAGCTAATGTTTTGTCATCCAAATCCTGAATCGCAGGCCAGGAAGCTCGGTTTGGGTTTTGGAATACACGACCAGCCCATCACCCAACCCATAAACAGAGCGGTTTGAGGATGGCATGGATGTTGGGGATCAGAGTATGTTTTCGGCATCTCCCTGAGCTAATGTACCATACCCATCCTATTGTTTGACTATAAGCTTGCCAGTAAAACCACTTCAGTTCAAGTGACCAGATCTTTGGAGAGGCTTCGCTGCTAGGGAAAGGACTGCTTGCTATCCTTGTCAATCTAGCAGGATATGGAAAAGGCTAAGGACCAGTGATTGCTGCATTTTGCTCTCCATTTTCCCCTTTTTTCTAACCAGGAGTTCTAACTGCATTTATCTTCTTTTACCTCCACGGTTATCTGCTGGATATTTGGAGATGGTTAGTCACAGGCGGCCAGACCATAAAGAGCCACGCTTGAACTTGACCTAGAGGAAAAGGCATTGCCCAGAAATGCTACCCTTGGAGGTAGATGTAATAACTGGGTGTGACAATAGGTTGTTTCTCTCAGGAGAGTATGTGAGTGTGCTTTGGTTGAACATGGGTACAGTTATGATAAATGAATACATTCTCGTGATTGTAAGATATGCATGTCAGACAGCCAATGGATGGACTGTCCTGGACTCCAACAACAGCTACTGCATCCCTCTTCTCCTGGGAACTCACCCTCTGCCCTGGCTACAGTAGTAAGCATCAGACCCAGGTCAACCAATCATAATATCCATCCACAGAGATTGGCTGGTCTAGGGGTGGGCCTATGTCCCAAAGTAGAGGGAATCTGCTCTCTTGCCTGGGATTTACATACAAGCACTAGATGAAAGGAGCTCCCTTTGCCTGGGTACTAAGCTGAGGCTGAGGGTGGCTGTGTGCTCTGACATGTGGACAGGATAGATCTTCAATAGGAGAGAGTAAGGGCGACTCACAAAGAAGCCAAGACAAGCAGGGCTGAGGAGTGGATGAGGAGGGAGGAGTTCTGCCAGCACCGACACTTTGGTGCCAGTGACTACAGCCCCGACTGCTGCATTGAATCTGTTACCCCTGCAACCTTACCAGCTATGTCAGTTGATACAGCCCTTCGCTCCTTCAGCTGGCCTGAGTTGAATTTATTGATGCCACTTCAACCCAAGGACTCAGCTACAATAACTATTATCAAAGAGGCACTGGGGGCTTCCCTGGGGGCTCAGTGGTTGGGGGTCCGCCTGCCGATGCAGGGGACACGGGTTCGTGCCCCAGTCCGGGAGGATCCCACATGCTGTGGAGCGACTGGGCCCGTGAGCCATGGCCGCTGAGCCTGTGCATCCGGAGCCTGTGCTCCGCAGCGGGAGAGGCCACAGCGGTGAGAGGCCCGCGTACCGCAAAAAAAAAAAAAAAAAAAAAAAAAAAAGAGGCACTGGATCCAAACCCACGTTTCTTTGTCATGAAAGAAACCTAACTAGTTTATTTTTCATTCAAATCCATGCTGATGTTCCATAGTTTCCTGTTCTTAGGCTACCTTCAATTGGTATTAAAAGGCCTCAGGATTACAATGAGATATCAAATAAAGAACATAAACATGTTGTCTTCCGGACACCCATTTCAACATTTCTCACAGCAACAATGTGGTTAAGATAGACTTATGTTTCCTCTGTGGAATTCCCTGGCAACTGAGCATAAATAAAGAAATCAGCCATGGGAAGGGGGCCCTGGATCACAGGGGAACCAGGGTGGGGAGGGATAGAATTCAAGGCTCAGATAAGAACAGTGTTTCCTGCACTACCTCAAAGACCCATCACCTTGCAGGAGTGCAACCTTGACAAATACGCAGAGAGTTGCCTCTCACCATAGGAATTACCAAAGAAGCTAAAAACAGAAACATGCACTGCATAATCTCTAACCTCAGGGGACAACAAAAACAGAGAATTGCTGTGTCAATCTCATTTCCTTGTTAGGCATATTATCCTAAGTGCAGGCCTTTCGTTCTGAACGCCACACTTCACTAACATTTACCCGGCTCTAGCTTCTGAAATATTGAATTCCATAGTAATTTTATTTTTTGCTTTTGATCTTTGCTGTTTTGCTCATTTATCCATAAACATGAGCTACTGAACTGAGTTGGAATTAAATAGCTGAGGTTGAAACCTGAGGCCGTCCAGATAGGACCAAACGAGTAGTCCAAGAAGGACCTCACCGTTGAAGTGAATAATGATAATAAATTTAACGTGTCTATCTTTGGATGCCTCCACTAAGATTACTTGACGATGATCCATGTCTTGATTTCCTGTGATGCTCTGGTTAGGGAAAGGAAGAGATTTCTACAACACGAAGTTTCCCGGGTGTGGACGGTCAGAGGCGTGCTCATAAAGTGAATTTTGTAAAGCCTCCCCTTTTGTCAAAACACTCTCTAATAGGATGGTTCTGTGAAGGGAAACTGCTAGAACCACTCTGCAAAGCGATACTTCGTATCACTTGACTAATTTTAAAAGTAGCTCATTCAACCAATTTTGGCAACTGAACTATTTTCTGAAATCCGGAATAGCAAAATCTTGAGAGCAAGACAGAGACAAAACGGGAGACTGTTAAAAACAAGTCACAGTGCATTGTAGGTGGCTTCCGTTTACTGAAACATTACCGGTGGGGAGAAGAGGAGAGAACGGATGCATCTGAGCCGCTGGCCACTCACCACTGCTGACCTCAGGCCTGGGGCAGCTGGCAAACACCATCTCCCTGACCTGCCCACCCAGCAGAGCAGTGAGTGTAGTGTGACCGTCCTGGTTTCACAACCCAGGACAATGGGACCCACAGGCATGCCAAATCTGCCCGCAGTCACACAACTTACCCATGTCTCAGAGCCAGTAAGTGGTGGAGCCTAAGTTTGGGTTCGGGGCTGCTGGTTCCAAGGTCTGTGCTCTTCACGGGGCTTGGGGAGAGGCCAGCAGAGGAGCGTAAGCTTCACAGCTCCCTCTCCGGGGCAGTTGTTCCTTTGGGATTAAGATACACCCAAAAGACTTCACTTGACTATATCCAGTGATGATACAGACAATGATAAGAGCTAATGTTTACCGAGTGTTTTCTGTGTGCCAGGCTCTGTTTATGTGCCACGTATTAATTCCTTTCATCCTCAGAACAATGCTGCCAAGCGGGCACTATTATTATCCCCATTTTATAGATGGACAAACCAAGGCACTGAGGGTTAAGTAACTGGTGCAAGAACACACAGCTGGTAAGTGGAAGAGCCAACATAAAACCCAAGGCACTGGCTCCAGAGTTCATCATACCCCAACTTCCATTCTATGCTCTCTACTTCTCAGACACACAGATAATAGATGGTTAGCACAGCCCACAACTTTGAAATTCTGCATTGTACCACCCAAACTTTTACTCAGAACAACACTCATGCTACCCTTCTACTAGCAAAAATGAGACACCTGGGGCATGGAGAAGCTTACAAGTTTCTAGAAAAAAAAATAGGATCTCTTTCAATGTTACTCCATAGAAAAACAAATCTATATACTTGAAACCATATCGGTGTTCTTGGAAATCTGAAACACCTATGATAGTTTCAATAGGCTGAAAACACATGCCCCCCAGGTTCAAGATGGAGATGGGGGTCACACCCATGGGTCTGTTTCTTATCTTCCAAATTCATGGATGACCTTTCTTGGGAAGCCTGGGGTCCCAATGGGGGAGAAAAGCAAAACAAAACCACTAGGTTCTTTCTTTAAAGAGAAAGTAACCTAAGTAACAGCTGTTGTCATGCATGTTACAGAAAATGCATTACCTCCTTTGCAGAGCAGAGTGTGCCGACAGCAAGCCAAGTCATTGTTTGCACAGGTGTATCTGTCCGTGAACAAACAAGTCCAGATCAATCCTCCTAAATTTCACTAACTAGAAAAGAGAGACAGCTAGGCATAAAACCATTTGACTCTCACTTTTGACATTCATGATTTTCGTCCCTTGTCATTTCATTTTTCCCTTGGATTTCCAAAGAAGGCTCTTTCCTTGATTTAGGGAGCATTCTTATCCCACAGAAATGGCTTTTATGAAAGGTTGAAAGAGGAGCTATTAATTCACTCTCAAAGATGCAGTAGAGAGCAGTTGCTTTTGTCTACCTGCATCCCTTCCTCAGGGAACCACTTCCCCACGTGCAGTACCCAAGCCTAGCCCATACTGGAACCCTCTCTCCCAAACAATGAAGACTGGTCCAAGGATGGCATGTGCCAGTTGTCTTTCTGTTGTGGATTTTAAGCTGAGAAGATGACGACACTCTGTGTCTGCTGGAGGCCACCTATCACGCAACATGGAGAGATAAGAGTTAGATGGAGAGAGAGAAAATTCGAGAATCAGTGAGCCCCTTTTTCTAATCTCAAAGACTCTAATTCCTGCAGTCCTTTTCACCTTTCCTGTAAGATATTTTAGCATGCTTCTGAGTTGAATGAGCCAGCAAACTTCCCTTTGTGCTTAATCTGATTTGAGTTGGATTTCTGTCTCTTGCAACCAAAAGAGTCACAATATAAAAGACTAAAAGTTTAAATAGCCGCCTTGACCTCTCACAGAAGGTGCCTGTCTGAGCTGAATGTATTTTCCCCTCTTACAAAGGACTGAGTTTCTTTCATACCCAATAAACCTGTTGTCTTGCTAATCTCAATCCTCTTCTGCATTCAATCCATTTCTTCCCTTTTTTTTTAATTTATTTTATTTACTTTTGGCTGCATTGGGTCCCCGCCGCTGCGCGGGCCCTCTCCAGTTGCAGCGAGGGGGGGCTACCCTTCGCCGCCGTGCGCAGGCCTCTCACCGCGGTGGCCTCCCCCGCTGCGGAGCACGGGCTCCAGGCGCGCGGGCCCCAGCAGCTGTGGCACATGGGCTCGGCAGTTGTGGCTCGCGGGCTCTAGAGTGCAGGCTCAGTAGTTGTGGTGCACGGGCTCAGCCGCTCCGCGGCACATGGGATCCTCCAGAACCAGGGCTCAAACCCGTGTCCCCTGCACTGGCAGGCGGACTCCCAACCACCAAGCCACCAGGGAAGCCCTCTTCCCTTTTTTAATCCCTGCTTAGCCCGAACTCCAGGCCAATGGGATTGCTCTCTAACTGTAGCCACTTACCTATGCTGGGGGAGACAGGGAGATACCCTGTTTTCTCATTAACAGCAAAATGCTCAAGCATCCCAATGGTCTTCCACATGGCTTCCTTGATACCATGATGTGTTTATTCTAGGGACACTGCCATTGCTTCAGTCAGTGGGTCTCAGGATAGCTGTATATTCAAATCATCCAAAGAGATTCTCAAACCACCAAGGCCAAGGTTCTGTTTTATTTGGTCTGGGGAAGGATCTGGGCAACAGTATTATCTGAAAATTCTCCCAGCAAAGTTTAGTCAGCCAACATTAAGACCGGCTGACTAAAAATATATTTATACATGCTTTTAATAATTTTTATGTTTAATTAAACTTGTTTTCTGACCATACTTTTGGGGGTTGGGTTGGAGAAGGCATGGAGGCATTAGCCCTGTGTAACTCTCCTTCAGCATTTCCGGGATTGTGCTTGAATTCATTAAATTCAAAGAGCATGATAGGAATGATCAAAGGTCCCTGCTCTGAACGTCACTTACACATTGGCCCTGTGATTTGTAACCTCATGGGAAGCCACTGTTTGTGCCCAAGTGTGCATATCTATTGTGTGCCAATCAGTCTTCTATCAATGTATATTAAATCATACAAGTTCTGGTAGACTTGTTTTTAAAAAAATCAAACATTTGACCTTTCTGCCATAATTCATTTTTGTTACTAGAGACTATCATATAATCTACCTATGTGGTATATGTATTAGTTTGCTAGGGTTGAGGTAAGAAAGTACCACAAACAGAAATTTGAACACAGAGACAGGCACACAGGGAGAATGCCATGGGAAGAGGGAGGCAGAGATGGAGGTGATGTTTCTACAAGCCAAGGAACACCAGAGATTGCCAGCAAGCCAACTACCAGAAGTTAGGTGAGAGTATGGACCAGATTCTTCCTCACTGCCCTCAGAAGGAAACCAATCTGGCTTGATCTCAGACTTCTCCAAAATTGTGAGACAATGAATTTCTGTGGTTAAAGCCACTTAATTTGTGCTACTTTGTTACGACAGCCCTAGGAAACTAAAATAGTCCCTTACAGAAAAGCAAAGTCTATAATTCTGTAGTCATTCACCTTTGAAGCTGTTGGGGAGAGGGGAGACCTAGAAGTCTGACTAACCTGAAAACAATAAGTTAAAGGGTTATTGTTGATCTTCATACAACACATAATGTTTATTACCAGCTGCTTTTTGAAGACAAAAGAAGAGGGGGGAAAAATTAAACTTTCCTGTTTCCTAGCCTAGAAAACAGATACAAAAAGCCCAGGCTTCCCTGGTGGTGCAGTGGTTGAGAGTCCGCCTGCCGATGCAGGGGACACGGGTTCGTGCCCCGGTCCGGGAAGATCCCACATGCCGCGGAGCGGCTGGGCCCGTGAGCCATGGCCGCTGAGCCTGCGCGTCCGGAGCCTGTGCTCCGCAACAGGAGAGGCCACGACAGTGAGAGGCCCATGTACCGCAAAAAGCCCAGGTGCCTGCACATTACAGAAGTCAGCTAGAAAATGATCACAGTTTCTGCAGCAAAAACATATTTCTACTGGTTTTCAAAAATGAGTGCTTAAATAAGCTTTGCTAAGGGCTTAATTTCCAAAATATACAAACAGCTCATACAACTCAATAAGAGAAAAAAACAAACAACTCCATCAGAAAATGGGCAGAAGACTTAAGTATCAATTTCTCCAAAGAAGACATACAGATGACAAACAGGCACATGAAAAGATGCTCAACATCGCTAATTATTAGAGAAATGCAAATAAAAACTACAATGAGGTACCAACTCACAATGGTCAGAATGGCCATCATCAAAAAGTCTACAAATAACAAATGCTGGAGAGGGTGTGGAGAAAAGGGAACCCTCCTACACTGTTGGTAGGAATGTGAACTGGTGCAGCCACTATGAAAAACAGTATGGAGTTTCCTCAAAAAAACTAAAAATAGAATTACTATATGATCCAGCAGTCCCACTCCTGGGCATATATCCACACAAAACTCTAATTCAAAAAAGATACATGCACCCCTATGTTCATAGCAGCACTATTTACAATAGCCAAGACATGGAAGTAACCTAAATTGTCCATCAACACACGAATGGATAAAGAAGATGTGGTACATATATACAATGGAGTACTACTCAGCCATAACAAAGAATGAAATAATGCCACTTGCAGCAACATGGATGGAACTAGAGATTATCATATTAAGTGAAGTAAGTCAGAACGAGAAAGACAAATACCCTATGATATCACTTATGTGTGGAATCTAAAATATGACACAAATGAACTTATCTACAAAACAGAAACAGACTCACAGACATAGAGAACAGACCTGTGGCTGCCAAGGGGTAGGAGGGTGAGGGAGGGATGGATTAGAAGTTTGGGATTAGCAAATGCACACTCTTATATATATGTACAACTGAATCAGTTTGCTGTACACCAGAAACTAACACAACTTTGTAAATCAGCTGTACTTCAATAAAATTTTAAAAATAAATAAAGAAGCTCTGTTAGCAAACCATGAAATACTCCAAGCAACCAGGACGGCAGACAAATCCAGTCGCTCTCTTGGTTGGGGACATATGGTATGGATTAATTTGTAAAAATTCCAGTAAAGCGTATAATGTGTGATGTTACAAAACCTCAACATAAGAACTGCCAGTTCTTAAGACTGTATTTCACTGGCTCATTTCAGAACCTTCTCCGTGGAAGTTGGTCCTCCTGTGGTACTATGGAGTAAAATTCTGGCTTAAATACTAATTAACATTAGGAACTGATCGTGTCCTGTTGCAATACCATACTCACATAAAGAAATGAAGAGAGGGTAGAAAGGAAATTGATGTTGCTGGTGGAGACTGCAAACTCTTTTTAGAAACGGAATCACCCACAGTTCAACTTGCTGTTACTACATCTCCCCAACTTTCTCTTAATGACTTACTCTTCCTTTTTCCCTCCCAGCTTTAATATCCAGCTTGATTCTCCTATATTTCTCAAGCTCATACTTCTGTCCAGGGTGATTTTAGCTCTTTGGGAGGAATGTTCTTTCAGAAATTGGAGGGAAGTGAGGAATAGAGAATAAAAGATTAAATTTACTAAGCTTGACAAGTTATATGTGCTACTTTGATTAAACAGAAAAATCTTGACTTGTGTTAAATTCTTCAATGACTTGCTTTGTGACTTTGGGGAAATTCCTTCAATTCCTTGTTCTCTAGTTCTCTTCACCTTAAGAGAAACAGCCTCAACATCACAATATTGGAAGGGTCAACAAACAAACAAACTAATCCATTATCAAGACACAATTAAACAATGATAGTTAATTCTGTTATTTTCCTGGTGCTGATGGGAAAGAGGTGCCCTCTTTTCACACAAGTGACAACTGCTGGTGGCCAGATGAACACCACAAAGGAAGAACCTGCCAGAAAATGGATCAACAGAAGGAAAACTGCAGGTGAGAAATGGAGGGAGGTAGATTCCTAATAATACCATATGAGCATCCATGCCTGCTCTACACCAGCCCTACCTCTAGTCTTCAGGGATATGTCAGCTATAAGCTCTTTATGCTTAATCCATTTGTGTTGGGTTTCTGTCACTCGCTACTGAAAGAGTCCTAATGAACACAGAATCTTATTAGTGAGAAAAACAGTAATTAGAGCAAAGATGACTGTCCTATTCTTCCGTTTAAAAGGATGGAGCCATTTCAAAAAGGTCCTAGAAACCGTCATAGGAAGGAAAGAAAAAATGTTGTAGATTTCACTCTAAAGCCAGGTTAAGGAGAGGATTAACTTCTTCTGAATAGCCCCAAGGGCCAACAGTTGGAAGAAGCAAAGAAGCAAATTTGGGCTTGACATAAGGATAAACTTTCTGCTGTTCGAAGCTGTATAAAATGGAGCAGACTGCCTCTTGAATATATTCTGCATGTATCTACTTCCTTCCATTGGAACTACCACTGCACTGGTCCAAGCAGTCTTAGCTCTGATATGGACTACTGCCAGGGCCTCCTAAAGTCACCCATTCATCCACCAAATGTTTCCTGAGCCTCTACTCTGTGCTAGGTGCTATTCTAGAAGCTGCAGACTCAAGGAACAGAACAGACAAAAAAATCCCTGCCCTCAAGGAGTTTGCATTCTACTCCCCAGAAGCAAACAGTAAATAAGTGAGTCATTTCTCAGCATTGGTTCCAGGATGCCCTGCAGAGACCAAGCTCCTCGGACTCTCAAGTCCCTTACGCAAAATGGTTGCTCAAGTCCCTACATAAAATGGCTGCTCAGGTCCCTATATAAAATGGCTGCTCAAGTCTCTACACAAAATGGCTGCTCAAGTCCCCTACACAAAATGGCTTCTCAATACCCTATATAAAATGGCTGCTCAAGTCCCTACACAAAATGGCTGGTCAAGTCCTCACATAAAATGGCTGTTAAAGACCCTATGTAAAATGGCTGCTCAAGTCCCTACACAAAATGG